GTGAATTCTATCTCCCCATTAAATTCCATATAAAATTCAGGGGTTCACAGAGACCTCAAAACCTTGCATAGATACAACAGAAGGCAGCACTGTAGCTATAAAAGATAAGCAGCTCTACGTGTAATAGGAACCATGCCTTCTCCGGAGTTCATACCTTCCCACCATCCCAGCACAAAATTGACTCACTGGCCACATGAACTGTGTGTATGTTATGATTATTTCCCACCTGGACAGCAGCAATGACGTCTTAACCAGCCCCACAGCCTCCCTCACCCCCTCCACTTATGCTTTCCTATTCTCTACACTGCAACCAGGGTGAATCTTTTAAAATACACATCTGTTCACAGCATTCTTCTCTAATGACTTATCACACTTGGAACAAAATCCAATTTCTTTAACCCTGGTTAACAATGCCTACCTCACCCACCATCCACACCTCATGACCTGTGTTACCTTCCCCAGCTGTTCTCAAGTTAAAGTAAGTCTAGGGCAGTGGTTGGCAAACTCTTTAGTCAACAGAGCCAAAAACAACAATTAAAATTTCTTTTGAGAGCAAAAATTTTTAAACTTAAACTATATAGGTAGGTTCATTGTTATTAACTTAATTAGGGTACTCCTAAACTGGCCTTTGCTAAAAACTCAAGGGGCCAAAGAGCCGCATGTGGCTTGCAAGCCACAGTTTGTCGACCACTGGTCTAGGGGACTCTGCACTTCTACTTCCTGTCTGGATGCCCTGGCCCCAAATACCTATATGTATTCAACCTCATTCGATTCAAATGTTACCTCATTAGAGGACTCTTCCACCACCTTATCTAAACCTTCTCCCCAGTATTCCCAGTACCTTCTATTGGGTACCTTATTTTTCTTCATTTCCCCTATCACTACCTGGTACTACGTATTCATTTGCTTACTGCAAATGAATAGGTTCCAGACTTTTCCCTAGAGAAACGAATAGGATCCAGACTTTTCCCTAGAGAAACTTAAAATTGAGCAGTGAAGGAAATAAACAAGGAATACAATGGAACGTGATAAGAGCTTCAAGTGCTTGACGGATACTGTGGAGTGAAGTAGCCAGAGATGAGGCAGGACAGGTCGGAGACAGATTATGAAGAACCCCGAGCTTCATGCTAAAGAGCTGGGCCTCCATCTGAGCACCCACTATACATCAATAGGTGGGAATGACAAGAAGTAGTGTTACGGTTGTAATATTAACAAAGGGAAGAAAGGAAAGGGAATCAGATATTGTAAGCATGGTCACCTGGGAAGCTTCCCAGGAAGCTATAGCTCCTCCCAGCATTGTTCCTCCGCGGGGACTAGCACCCCCCCTTGCCCATCTGGTGCTGGGTTTTTGCTCGGAGCAGGGGAGATAGGCACATGCCCAGTAAAGTTGGGTGGCATAAGGGAGTCTGCCGGCCAGTCTACTGAGAACAATGGACTGGCTAGGCAATGGACCATCAGAAGCACATGAAATCTTGGAAAGCGAATTGTTTAGTTTGAAGAAGCTCCTGGTTAGATTAGAAACCCCGACAAAAATGCCCTTTCTCTTGCTCCCTCTTGCTCTGTAACCTGCACTCCCCGGTGTGTTCCGTGTTCTCTCCATGGCCAGGTGGCCTTAAAAAACCGGATGGCCCGGCCACGCAGACTTCACATGCAGAAGGCTGGGCGGAACTGGACTTTCATGTGCAGCAGGAACTACGGGCAGAGGCCTTCCTCCTGGCCCAGCTGAAGACAAGATGGGACGTCTCCCATGGCAGGATGGACAGAGATGGGACCTGGGAGGGGAAACTGCTTAATTCTACATCAATAAAACTCTCCACAAAACCCCATCCTCCTGTGGGAGCCTCAGCAAATTCTTTCCTTGCAGAGCCCCAAAAACTCCACTTCCACCAATAACAGCAACAAATCTGAAATTAGAATTGATAGAGTCAGCATTTGTATAAAAGGAACTGAGAAGTTCTAGGATTTTAGGAAATGCCTCTGCCCACAAAGGAGGAAGAGTAAGTTGGGGGGAAAACGATAAACCTAGTATTAGACAGGGTCTAAGACCATCATACTAAACTAAGTCAGTGATTTCTCTGGGCTACAAAACCCTTGACTTAGAAGTTCTACAAACCTGATCCTTGGCCTTCTTCACCAGGTGTTCTCAACATCCCACTAGCCACCCTGTCACCATGTGGTAGCCATGATTTAGCCATGCATTGAAAGTCCTTACTGAGTCTGCAAGGTTAACAGTCTTTATCATGCTTTCTTAAAACAAGGACTTCCCGATTTTGGTGAAGTCTGAAACGATTGGTTGTCTCCTGCTCGCATTATGCAACCCAGGTACATACCCTTGTCTGGAAATCCACCTTAGATTATGCCAACATTCTAACCACTGAGAGCACTGGCCAGTGCTAGTCTGTTTTTAAAGGGCTCCGAGACTCATAAAATCAAAGTAAAATTCACCTGTGGGATTACTGGCCAAACAGGGTCACCTTTGAGGAGTCATATGCAACGTGCCTCCTAAGTGGCAAACCTCCTGGATAGGGTTGGGAAAAAGGGTCGAGAGCCAGAAGAGTCAAGCGGGAAAGAGGGAGACTGAACTTCCTGTTTAACACAATACCCTGTACTCAGAAGTCTCCATTTCCCTGCCATGCTGGATAAACAAAACTGCTATATAGCAACAGGCAAATAACCAGAAACAAGGGGTCTCTGACATGACCGAGCATGAGAGCTGGGGAAGGCGGTATATCAATATCCACTGCATCTGTCCTGCCACCTCTTACATGTCTGGTGAGTCACATACACTGAAGACAGACCTCAGGGAGGCCGATGGGAACCCAGGGATACGCCCAGTGGGAGGACAGCGGGTGGGGCTGTTTAGGGTTATCTTGACAAGAGGCGGCTTCCATTTCCCCTGTCCCTCCTATCAACATGGAAACAGGAGAGAACACTTTTTAAAGAATCCTTAGTTGCCTGTCTTCTGGACATAAGACAACACTGCAGCTAATGATAACCTAACATAATTGGCCCATCCAATCACGTTAGAACTAAACAAAACACAGTTGTATTGAACAGACATCATCTGGACTGAGAGGCTCCTTTTTATCTGTGAGAAAAAGCAAGCTCCTGAGGCTGAGAGTCACCCACACCACACAGCATGGCAAGGCAGGGCAGGGCAGGGCAGGGCTGGGCTGGAACCCAAGCTGCCTGCGGCCAACACTGGGTTAATTTGGTCCAAGGCACAAATAACTGATTTACTGCTACTGAACAATGCAAATATACAAGTGACTGTAATATTGGCAATAAGTACTAGGAAAATGAGAAATTAGAAAGCTTAAAGCAAAAACAGATATGAGGGAAAAGTCCCTGCTGAGAGAAATATAAAAAGTGACATATTTTAAAGAAATTAACCCTCTGGTCAGGATACTTCCTTAGAACAAGAATAAATTGTTTAAAAGTCACAGTTTTGTGAAAGGTTTGAACTCAAGCTTGGTATGACTTAACTAAAGTTATATTCTGGGTCAGTAAATTATTTGCTTGCATGTAAAATGTTGATGGAAAACCAGAAAACAACCTGTCATAAACAAAACAATGAACATTGAGAAAAATCTCAGAAAACATAATTTAGTTGACTTTGACTTTTAAAGAAAAAATACTGGCATATTTCTAATGTGCTCTTGGGAAAAGAAGTTTAGAAGTTAACAGTCAAGGTCAGAAACTGAAGTTTGGCAGCCAAAAGAATGTAATTAATAAATTGGAAGCATCTCATATTTCTAAAGCTTATTCCTATCAATTCAGTCTCTTAAAGCTAAAGCAAACAAAGAAAAGGTCTCCCATCAAATCAAATGCAGCCCACATCACAGTTTCTATTTCCAATTTAGCTGAAACTCGAGGACTGCCAAATCAGTCCCAAAATAAACACTGGCCACTTAAACAGCTTCCTTTATACAAGTTAAGAGAGTTTTTTCCTGGCTGAGTCAGAAATTGCTTTTACTTCCACTTGCATCTATGTAATTTATAAGCTGACAAAACACAGTCCTTTAGGAACATACCAGGAAAATATTCATCATTTCTGCTAGGTCAAGTTCACATAAATCCTGGCTACATTTTGTTTTCCTGATACAAGATGATTTTCTTAATATGCATCCATACTGTGGGTCATGAAACACAACCCACTGCAGAGAAACTCAGTTCCTTAATAGACCAGTTTTTAACTCCCATGAGTGGAAGCCATAAAGATGTCCAAGTAATAGGAAAATCATACAGCAATGACGAGAGGACGTGTTTCGTTTGCTATACATCCCAAGCAAACAGCTTGCCTGAGGGGGTCTATGCTGAGTTTTGAGTTAGGGACATGAAAGCCACTTTAGTTATACTGGAAACTAAAAGGAGGCACCTACTTAAACCCCGAGAAATGTGAATGGAATAGCCACATACTGCTTTAGTTGCCACACATTCTAGAAGGTGAAAAGCCACACTGGCTCGCTGCATTGCACCTACCTAAACCGAGTCATTCCCTGAGAGCATTATTTTCCCAACGGCCCAAGCCACTGTGGAATAGCTGTTCCGAATTTTGTGTGTGAAACCTCCATAAATACGCATTGCTAAGTTTCCAGATGTCTGACTCTGCTTGGGAAAAGCTATGCAGCCATGCATGGTGCTTAGGCCAACTGTTAACAATTTATCTGCTGGGCTAACACCACCAAGGCTGGCTGGTTTTTTTGTGGTTCAATAGCCTATATATACCCTCTGAAGGTGTTTGAGGGTTTTCTTTCCTGTGAACTGAAAACAGAACAGTCTCTCAAACAATCCTTTTCACCATTCTATACAAATCTTGCCCAAAACATGGTATTTTCTTAAAGAAGCCAGAGCTTCAGTTGGGTATGTGGCTTTAAAAACGGGGGAATAATAAGCTTTGATTGCATTGCTTCATAAGTTGCATCTCCAAATAATGAGAATTAGACATCTGCAGTGCAAACCCCTCAGTCCCTGAGTCTGAGGGCTTTTGCTTTACTTACTTGTATTTTAAGAGCAGCCACTGAACTAACCAGAGTCCTACAAGGATCATGCCGTTAATTTCACAAATAGAAAAGGCCCACTGCACCCGGTTAAAATGGTCAAAAAACGTGTCCGGTAGTGGAGGCTGCACCTCCTTAGGAGGTACTCGTTCATGGACGACCGAGATCATCACTGTGGTGAGAACAAAACAGCAAAGTGCATAAAGAAAGGCCAGAAGAGTCTTGCCCCACTCCATGGGGTACTGGGAGCGCTCCAGTTCTGGCATGGGGATCTTGATCATCTCCTTCCTATACCCATTTGGCATCCCGTTGGGTTTGACCTTGATGCTGAATCTGCCGTCAGGGGTGGGGACGTCTGTGCCAATGCTGAGGTGCCCATTGGCATGGCCGTTCTTGTGTACTTCCATGTGGTGCTCCATTTTCAAGGTCTCTATCATGTCCAAGAGCCGCTGCCCGTTGTCGGAGGAGACTCGGCACAAGGGGGGTTTTGTGAAATCCTCTTGGGTTAGGTTGATCAAGTCCCGGCCCGTGAAATGTTCCAGAGGCTCACAGTATTCTGGCATAGCATTCTCCAGCAGCCAGTCTGTCACCTTTTTGGGTGACCAATAAACCACTTCCTTCATTGTACTGGCAGACGACAGGCAGGCCCCTGCTTGCTCTCGGCAGGTCAGCAGTCTGAGTTTTTACAAAGCAGGATGCTGGCCATCGGAGGCGTGCTCATCCTGTCAGGCCTCATGACAGGGACTGGGGTATCAAGATGGTCAGGGCAGTTTTTAAACACCTCATGTAGCTGTCCAGGGTTCTTGAGTACCGGAGCACTCATTCACCTCATTTTTCAACAAGGTTCTTCCTCCTGTGGAGGCAAGAGAAAAGGTCAAGATATTGGTCAACCCCCTCAAAATGCAAAACCTCCATAAGCATAAGGAAAATGGGAATCCAGTTACGGATAAAGCCTGTAGTTTTCAAACATGTGTTAGTCTAAGGGGCCACTGATTCCCTGGTTGGCCTTCCCTGAAAGAGCATTAAAAGGGCCAAGTGATGGATAAAGTCAAAGGGGAAATGTTTTACAGCCTCCTCAATGGGGTCTTTTCTAAGACATAATTCATCATGCTGTGGACACTGCTTAGTACGGATCAGTGGTTCTGTGTGTGCAGGTGCTTCCTGGGACAAGCTGAATGAAAGTGGCACGTTGGCTTAACCTATCATCCTAGCTGGTGAAGAAGTGTTTTAAAAAGTACATAACACACAGCAACTTAACAGATACGATAGAAATGTTGAGCTTCAAGACAGTTTGGTTCAACATTTATATATTTTTTTACATATACACAAAGAATCAATGAATCCCTGTTTCCTCATGGGCTCAGATGCCCAAATCTATAGAAGAACTTCCAATGCAGCTCCAATGTCACACAGGCAGGGAAAGGGCCAGCATCTTCCAGCTCTGCCCACCTTTCTGCTCCCTGCCCAGAGGGTATTTCCTGGAATCCCAGTGGTAAAATCAATATCTGATTCAACTCCCTCATTTATAAACTTGGAAACTAAATCCCAGGAAGGTCAAGAAACTTGCCCTTTATTAAATGGCAGCTTGCAGCCAAGAGCTGTAAGTTTCCTTTCTGAATCCTGAAGTTCAAAACACTATTTATTAAAATACTTATGTGGTAATAACCAATTCACATTTGCAGGGGATATTCAAAAGCTAAATTCAAAATTTTATAAAAGTATGTAAGTATCAACATAAATTTACATATAAATAATGAACCTCCTCTTATTTAAACTCAGCATTGATTAATGAACATAACATTGCATAAACCTGGGGGAAAATACATCACATTTTAACTGAAATTATATTTGATGACAGGCCTGGGGGCATTTTCTACTTTTCTCCCATCCATTTTTCTTTAATAGGCATGTACTCCTTTTGTAACAATCATTAAAAATTGGAAAGCAAGTGAAAAAACTAAAGTTTTGCTACCCTGAAGCTGCCTTTTTGGGATATTGATTTTAAGCTGCTTATTAAGAAACAAGACTCAGAAAGAACCTTTGACCCTCTCCCTTTTCAGCCCAAGAGATTCAGACAGAGAAGTGTGCTTAAGGAAGGAAATCTTAGCATGTTCACTGTAGCCTAATTTGAATTAAGTGTGGTAATTAGGAATGCTTCAGGCAGGGTCTGTTAGCTAGAGATCTCAGTGTCCTTCTGAGTTGCCTCGCAAGAATTTGCCTGCCATGAGTGTTCCCCTCTCCCTCAACAACCTGTAAATAACCCATTGTCCCTTCTGAAATATATCTCCCCCACCCTCTTCTCCTTTGTCCAGAATGCCACGTCTACCCAATGTTGCCTCACTGTCTCTGGAGTTTTCATGCCTATGTGAATTCCCCATGGACAAGTGTTAAAAACTTGATTTTTGTCTGTTAATCTGTCTCTGTTGATATGATTATCAGCCTAGCCAAGAATTTAGAAGAAAAATATTAATATTTTTTAGTTCCCACACTAGAAATGTTAAAAATAAATACCTAGCTCTAAAACAAAGCCTTGTTATTCATGTAGCATGGCCTTTAGCTGAAGACAGACCATGGTCTGACTCTCAGCCTCTCTTATGCATAGCACATTAGGTGAGCTTCAATTACTTATTTATTTGTTTGTTTGTTTATTTATTTATTTGAGTGAGAAAGAGAGAAACATCAATGTTGGGGAGAAACATCAAAAAGTTGCCTCTTGCATTCATTAAGCCTCTCCCGCTCCAACCCCAAGAACGCCTACTCGCTCCCTATGGAGCACATGTGGCACAAACAAGACCTGAACCCAGGTCTCCTGATTTCAAAGACCAAGCTCATCGCTGCTAACCCCCAAATCTGACTCTGGAATAGAGATGGACAGTATGTTCATTCCTGATTTCCCCGTCTAAATAACAACCAGTCAAATGGCAGTAAAACTTAAAAGACATTCCAGACTGCAAAAGAGGCATTCCCGCTCCTGAGCATTCATCCCAGTGCTGTGTGCCTTCCCTCTGACACTCCCTGTGGTGTCTGTCTAGACTCCCTCAGGAGCCTGTGAGTGACTGGGGAAGAGCTTCAGTCTGAAGCATCCCCGTCTCACATTCCCAGGGCTCAGAATGTGCTTGATCAATATCTGCGCAATAACTCAGGAAACAAATGTCCCTTACATGGTTTAATGGAAAATAAAGCTACAGAAAATGTCACTGACACTGAAAAGGGCTTTAAAATGATTTCGATAGTCAAGGAGAACCAGGCAGGCAGTCTCCAGAGAGAAATAGGACACCCAGGAGAAGCTCTGACCACTCGGAAAGCACTACACAGGAGCTGCAGCCGCACCAGAGCTGCCTGGAGAGGCCAGAAGGCACACAGGAACGTGGGCGCCCTGGCAGAGGTCCTGCAGGAAAGGGATCTCCCAGTATCAGGCTCCAGGCTTCTCCCCAAATCCTCCTCAGCAGCTTTAGGCTAACAGCCAAGGAACCCTCAACATCTGCAAGTGGCCACAAGAACTCCAAAGAAAAATGCTTGCTGGAATGAATGTTCATGCCCAAGGACATGAATGTGGGCTTTCCCCTTTGTCCAACGCAGGAAGGCTGCCAGGAGGGGAAACCCCTTCAGAACCACAAAGATCAGACCAATGTCACAGGGTTATTTCACTTCTCTCTGACGAGGGAACAGTCAGATAATCTCCTTTTAAAAGATAACACTGTAATCTTTCAAAAAGAAAAAATATCAAGTGGTGGGAGACAATCTAGGCCATCAGACAGACAGACAGACAGACACATACACATGCACATACTCTTTCTGGCATTGCAAGCCTCCATCCAAACGAAGGACCCTGATCTTGCAAACGCAAGTCCATAGGCAGTTTCCAACAGCCAGAGGAACTCTCCAGTGACAGCAAGAAAGTAAATGGCTCCTGTTAATAACTAGGAAACAAAATTGCTCACTCCTTAGGAGAGTGCCTAGGCGTCCCCCCATGTTGGAGTTCTCCATTTCGTCCTCCTCAGCAAGGCCAGGCTATTCCCTTGGTCTCTAGGGTCCTTCTCTGCAGACCCTTCGCAGAACATTCCACTTCCCCATACTTTTCCCTGCTTGACTTCCTGCATCACTTTCATCTGTGACATGTGATCTAATTTAACCCTCAGGTGTGCTTGGTGTAGCAGAAAGAGCACCAGCTGTGTGAGTTACAGAGCTGATAGCTGAGACTCAGCACAGCCACTTCCCTTCCTGACAAGGTCCTTGAACCTCTCTACACCTCAGTTTCCTCTGGGAAATAGTATTACCAATTACCCACTTCATGGGGCTGCTCCTGTTGTGATAAACCAATCATATAAAAAGAATAAAAGATATAAGTTTCCTCAAGAAACATGTCTTGTTCTTTTCATAATGTCCTGCTTCCTTTCTAACACCCAACTGGGTCATAGTGACATGTCATAAATATTTACTGAAGCTGCCACTTCCAAAGGGCATTTTAAAATGCCTAATCATTCTGATACAAGAATAAAAACAGCCCTCCAAATTCCATGAGAAAGCAACCCTGTATTTTTCAAGCAACTTTGAAGCTTGAAAATAAAGATATATATGCTGTTTTCCTGAAAGGGGGAAAGCTCACTGTAGGGAAGTAAACGTTGAATAGCTACTCAGCACTTCAAAGGCCACTGCAAAAAAGGTATGGACTTAAGAGACCCCAGAACCTAGCTGTAGAAGGAGAAATGAGATGGTGGCTCTCCCCTGGTCTCACACACTCAACTTAGAACATACTGTGGCAAAGTGTATTCACATCTATACCCAAAAGACTGTATCTTAGGCAGAGCTCAGAAAACAGCTATTACTACCTTCATTCAGGAAAGCCACTGAGAATCCATAACCAGGAAAATGTTAAGAAATAGTACAGGAGAAACCAAGATGGTGGCATAGGTAAACACCTAAACTGCTGACTTGCACAACAATATCAAAACTACAACTAAAAGATAAAACAGACACCATCCAGAACCACAGGAAAGCTGGCTAAGTGGAAATTCTACAACTAGAAGGAAAGAGGAAAGTGAGTCTCAGAGGAGCTGTAAAAGGTTGAGATATGGGGACGTGCTCACACGGAGAGGATGGATGGCTGAGTGCACGGCTGGCTTTCTAAAGTGGGATAGAGACAGAAGCTCCCAACTGCATGAACTCCAGTTCCGGGAGAGTTTCTGGGAACCCAGACTCATTCAGGGCGAAACTTGAGAGCAGCTTTCTCTCAGATGTGTTTGCAGTGATTACCATGGGACACTGAGACACAGGGGCCTATTAGGGCAGGGCTGATGGGAAACCAATGCTGTCTGTTCCACCCTGAGACTCTGCCCCATCCAAGCTGAACACAGAGGTTTTTGCAATTTTGCAAGTCTTGTCTCATAAGGCTGTCTCCAGCACAGAAGTTCTCCCAGTGTAGACACAGCTGATCCTCACAGCCAGTTGGCCTGGAGGTCAATTCCTCCCAGTGATACCAACAACAATCAAGACTTAACTACAACAAGGCTGTGCACACAGTCCACAAAGGGGTACATCAAGAGTGTCCACCTCAGGTAACTGGGGAGGCTGAGCCACTGAGCCCTATAGGATAAGGAGAAAGAAAGCTACGCTACCAACTCAGGGAAGCAGCGAAAATGCTAAGACAAATCAAAATGAAAGAAATGGAGGAAAGCAAATGACTGGATATAGAATTCAAGACCAAGGTTATAAGGTTTTTCAAGAATTTCCTAGAAAAGGCCAATAAATTTAGTGAGACCCTCAAAGACATGAAAAAGGCCAAATTAGAAACTAAATATTCATTGACTTAAATAAAAATACTATACAGACTAGAGGAACATAAGAATCAAGTCA